TGTCCCCCAGCACCCACAGACTGGAGGTACTGGGCACCGGGCTTCCCGCCACCGTCCTCACGGGGCAGCCAGGGCATCCCAGAAGTGCCTGTGATAGAGGGTTGATGCAGATCCCCCAAAAACCTTGAGCTAAACCTGCCAGAGTGGAGGCTAGGAACTTTGAGTCCTCCAGTTATGTGAAGCCTTTCTCCCACAGCTTGTCACCTTCTTGCAGATATGTCACCAGCCCTGTGGTCAGTGCTAAGAGGCTTCTGGGCAGGGCTACAGCTCAGCAAGGTTTGAGTATCTAAAATACCAGGGCAGGGTTGGTTTGGTGGCGGTGAATCCTGCAGCTGCTAAGGGCTCTAGGCTGAAAGTGATTCAATTCTGGGATGGTGACAACGGTGAGGGTCCGCTTGCTGCCCAGTTAATGCCTCTCCCCAGGAGCACATCTTACAGAGTGATGTCAGGAGGGACCCAAACCCCAGCAATTCCCTTCTGCTGTGTGTGATCCTGCACTGGGCATGACACCACTCACCCAGGCAGGGGCTGAGCTGTGGCCATCACTTCCCTGGGGGGGCTGCTCAGCCCAGTGGGGTGCAGAGCCACCTGGGGTTGTGGGGATCCCTTGGCACAGCCCTTCCCGGTCCCCATCTTTGCTCACGGCCTCTCTGTTCCCAGGTTATTTCCTTGAAGACTTTGTGGACATGTTGTGCAATCAGAAACTTCACCAGTCCTGGGAGCTGCTCTTCCATCACTCTGTGGTGAGTCCACTGGCTGCTCTCTGAGGGACAGACCTGGCACTTGTGCCACCAGGGAGGCTGGGCTGGGGGACCTGAGTGGGGCTTCTGCTGTTGCTAGTGTGCGTGTTTGCTGCCTGTTATAAAATCTGATTTTTTTGCTTGGGGAGAGGAGCCTGTCAGCCCAGACAGCAGGGCTTGGAGCTCCTCTTGGTCCTGTGGGACTTGTGTACTCTTCGAGGGTCTATAGAAAGGCACCCAAAGATGGGGTAGAAAAAAAACCCCAAATGTGCACAGAATAGGGGAGCAGAGAGCTGGGCCAGAGGACTGATCCATCACAGTGGCATGGACAGGAGGTGACCAGGGTGTCCCCACCAGCACAGGCACGGCTCTCAGCCACTTGAGTAGCTGCCAGGAGGGGCCGCACGCTGCCTCCTTCACCTCCTGCTGCCCGGGGTGCTCTCCTTTTACTCAGGTCAGCGCCATGGCCATGTGCTGGGGTGGCTGGAGCAGCCGTGGGGCAGGAGCCCCACATCGGTGCCCTCTGCCTGCCTTGCTGCTGGCTGTGCCCAGTGTGGGTTTCCCTGTCACCTCCCGTGTCCCCGTGTCCGGATGCTGGAGCGTTGGGGATGCTGCAGGGCAGGGGGGTGGCACAACCTGGAGCCGAGCAGCAGAGATGCTGTGGGGTGCAGGGGGGCACAGGGGTGCGGGGTCTGGGGATGGGGGACAGGGACAGCAATGGGACGTACCTGGGATGCGGCTGGGGAGGCGATGGTCAGACCTGTTGTCCCGCAGAGCCCAGTGAGCCCTGCGGCTCTGCTCGTGTGAGTCAAAAGGTCATCTCCACAATAGAGCTAATTCAGGCCAAGACAGTGACTTAACGAGCAGAGGGCAGATAATCTCATTAAAGAGCCAATACAGAGAACAGCATTAATGGTATAAACTGAAGAAAGGACTGAGTGTGATCAAACGCAGGCGGGCAGAGCCTGTCCCCTGCCTGGCAGGGAGGATGTGGGGCAGGAATTGCACCTGCTCTGCCCCCAGCAGCCCCAGGGCGCTTCACACCAGGCTTGGGGCATCCCACGGGAACCACTTAATCCCTGCAGCGTGCCTATGCTGGGGAGAATCCCTGAGCCAGCAGCAGCTGTAGCCCTGGGCTACATGTCTCCCTTCCTGCTGGGTTCAGCCATTCACTGTGTGCGGAAAAACCTGCTGGGTCACCACCAAACGCATTCCCCAGGCCACAAAAGCAGGGTTAGCTCTGGCTGCTCCATCTCCTCTGTCAGCCTGGAGTTTATAGAAGTATTTTCTTCTCCTTTCACTGGGGGAAAAAAAAAAAAAAAAAAAAAGAGAGAGAGAAAAGAGAGAGACAGAAACAAAAAAACCAAAGAACAACCCACTCAGGTTTCATGCAACAGTGGGGAGGCTTTATCTCATGCCCGAGGCTGCAGTGCTGGCTGGAGGCTGTGATGCTTCAGAGAGATGTGTGGGGTGATGACCAGCAGTTTGGCGCTGGCGTGATAACCATTTCCACCTCCGCTCCATGTCATGCCCAAGCATGGAGGGCTCCAGCTCGCAGCAGCCGAGAGCAACCAGCTCCCGGGCTCAGCCTCTCTTCTTTCTCCTTCCCAGGTGATTGTCTGCTTTGGTATTGCGGTGCTGCTCCATCAGTACGTCGGGGTTGCTCTTGTGGCTTTACTGGTGGAGATTAACTCCATCTTCCTCCACCTGCGGCAGATCCTGCTCATGGCCAACCTGGTGCACACCACTTGCTACCGCCTCAACAGCATCACCAACCTGGGCACCTACGTGGTGTTCCGCATGGCCACGCTGGCCTGGATGACCCGCTGGCTCTTCCTCAATCGGGAGAACGTGCCCCCAGCGATGTACGCTGTCGGTTCGGTGGGCATGGCAATCATGATGTCCATGAACATCATCCTCTTCTACCGCCTGCTGCGTAGTGACTTCTTCAAGTCCAGCCGGGACGTGCAGCCAGAGAAGGAGCAATAGTCCCCTTCCCTGGAGGGTCCAGGGGACAAGCAGCCCTGTGTCCATGGAGGAGGACAGCAAAGCGCAGTGGAGAGTGAGCGTGGCTGTTTCAGCACCTTGCGTGGTGGGTCAGCACTAACAGAGCATCCAGGCTTTTCTTGTGGCTGCAGAGAAGCAGAGCACAGCAGAGAAGGTGCTCACAGACCAGGCACTGGGGCTCTGCTCCCCCCCCAGCACCTTTGGATTATGTGGTTGGATGACCGGGAGCTGCTCAGAGAAGCCCCAACAGCTCTTGCAGCTCCCCAAGGATGAGAAGGAAGCAGAAGAGCTCTCTTTCCCCGCTGCTCTTCCAGAAACCCAAACACCACAGTGCGTTTCTAACCCCTTTGGTGCTGCAGCCTGCAGCGTCCCATCAGCCAGGGGACACTGCGCTCAGCCCTGGCTTCTCTGTGGCACTTCATGGGAGCACTACCAGGCTCCAAGGCTTTGCCTTCGAGGCCAGGGCCAGTAAAAGCCAATTCCTGGACTCATGAGTCCTCCCCGAGGAGATTGTCCCAGGTGGGTGATGGAGGGAGAGGCTGAGCTGTCTGGGTGGGATGCTGCCTGCCGTGGGGTGCAGGCTGGGGGCTGTGCTCAGGGACCGCTGGCCAACTTCTCCTGACAACTGGAGCTTTTTCCGTGTTGTTTTGCTCCTGGATATATTAAGTGCCCTAAATGAGTGTGGGAGAGAGTGAGCTGCTGGCCGGGGTGATGCTCTGTGATGGTCACTTCCCACAGACGCAGAGTTTTGATTGGCCAGATTCGGGCATCTATTGGGAATGGAAAGTCCTGCTGCAGAGCCCAGTGCAACGTTCTTACCCAGCAGCAAGAGCTCTGACTAACATGAGCTTTTAATAAAGGGCTGCAAACAAAACGGCTCGAGGGGAAGCGGCTTAGAGGGAAAAAGGGGCTCTGCATCCCAGCCTGCTCCAGGGCTGTCACCGCTTTTTATCCTACATCTCCCCAATGTGGCGTAAAAATACACTGTACACTGTCACGATCTACCTCTCTTGGGGTTTTTTTCCCCCTCTCTCTTTTCTATGAAGGAAGGTGAAGGGTTTTC